AAAAGAAAATACATGGATTTATTCTTGCTTTTTTTTTGTAGAGTTTAAAAAATCTTCCTGATTTGGGGCCCAGTGATAAAGAGCACTTGCTGTTCCTGCAGAAGACCCAGGTTCAGTTTCCAGAACTCACCTGGTACCTTATTAACCTTTATAACTCCAGTTCCAGTGTATCTAATGCCCTCTTCTGGACTTTGAGGGTACTAGACATGCTTATGGTGTGTACAGACACACACAAGCAAAACATTCATGTCTACAAAAAAATAAAAAGTAAAGGCTGGGTGGTAGTGGCGCACACCTTTAATCACAGCACTCAGGAAGCAGAGGCAGGTGGATCTCTGTGAGTTGGAGGCCAGCCTGGTGTACAGAGCTAGTTCCAGGACAGCCAGGGATACACAGAGAAACCCCATCTTGAAAAACCAACCAACCAACAAACAAACAAACAAACAAACAACAACAATAGAAGAAGTCTCCTCCTCCTCATCCTCTTCCTCCTCCTCCTCCCTTGTTTGATACGTTTAAACTTCTCAGATCTGTGATGCTGTCATGCATACTGATGGGTTACCATCTCTGCCTAGGGACTCTGCATTCTGGCTGCACAGCCTTTAAAGGCCTTGGTCACCGGGACAAGAAAGGCCCCCAGCCCTCCCCTTCTCCAGATCTCATTGGGCTCTGACTGTTGCCTGAAACAGCACGACCCAACATAGATACCTCTCCACAGGACACCTCTGACTTGTTACTGACGAATCTGGCTTCTTGATCATCTCCTGTTCTTTTATTTTAAGACTTTTTTTTTTTTAAGTGGTATCTTAGTCATTTTCTATTACTATGAAGAGACATCATGACCATGGGAACTCTTATTGAATAAAATGTATTTTTTTTTCCAAGACAGAGATTCTCTGTGTAGCCCTGGCTGTCCTGGAACTTGCTCTCAGACCACTCTGGCCTTTAACTCAGAGATCTGCCTGCCCCTGGCTCCAGAGTGCTGGGATTAAAGGCATGTGCCATCCCCCCACCCCCCCACCCCCAGCTGTAAAGAAAGCATTTAATTGGGGGTTTGCTCACAGTTTCAGAGAGTTAGTCCATTATCATCATGGTGCTAAGCAGACAGGCATGGACTAGAGCAGCAGACTTTTACATCCTAATCCTGGGGCAGCAGGCAGAGTGAGACACTGGGCCTGGCATGGGCTTTTTTTTTTCTTTTCTTTTTTCTTTTGAAGACAGGGTTTCTCTGTGTAGCCCTGGCTGTCCTGGAACTTGTTCTGTAGACCAGGCTGGCCTCTGACTCAGAGATCCACCTGCCTCTGTGTCCTAAATGTTGGGATTAAAGGCATGCACCACTACTGCCCAGCTGGCATGGGCTTTTGAAACCTCAAAGCCCACCCCCAGTGACATACCTCCTCCAACAAGGCCACACCTCCTCATTCTTCTAATCCTTCTCAAAAGTGTATTCTTGCTTCCTGATGACCAAGCATGCAAATATTTGACCTTTGGGAGCCTTTTTTTTTTTGTTTTGTTTTTCGAGACAGGGTTTCTCTGTGTAACTTTGGAGCCTTTCCTGGATCTTGCTTTGTAGACCAGGCTGGCCTCGAACTCACAGAGATCCACCTGGCTCTGCCTAGTGCTGGGATTAAAGGCGTGTGCCACTGCTGCCCAGCTTGGGGGCCATTTTCATTCAAACCACTACATGTGGGTTTGGTAAGGGCACACCTTTAGTCCCAGCACTCAAGAAGCAGAAGCAGGTAAATCTCTTAGTTCAAGGCCAGGATAGTCTACATAGTAAGATCCAGGACAGTCAGGGCTATAGAGAGACCCCATTTCAAAATAAAACAAATGTAAAACCCCAAATGGTAACAAAAAAATAAAGACTGACACTCCTAGGTACAGATGATGCAATACTATAATCCAAGCCTGAAGGTACCTGAGTCACCAGAGTCACAGAGGAAGGAGCTGCATCCAGAGGCTGGATAAGCGGGTTTGCTAACACTTTCCCAAGACTGGCGGTACAGAAGCCTTTGGCCTAGTGCCCAAAGAATTCTAGCTGCCTGTACTGGACAAGTCCATGTGTACTCCTAGAATATCAGCACTCAGGAGGCTGAGGCAGGAGGATTGGGAGTTTGAATCCAGCAGGGGTTATACAGCAAGACCATTTCTCCAAGAAAATAAATAAAAATAAGAAAAAGCAAAAGAAAACACCAGAGAGAGAGAGAGAGAGAGAGAGAGAGAGAGAGAGAGAGAGAGAGAACACTATTCTAGTTGTTTGCTTGCTTAGTTTTCATCCTGCTAGTCAGGCATACCTTACTAGGCGTCCTGCTGGGAGGTAAGCTTGCTGGGTGCTCCCAGGTGTCCTCATTAATTTTTTTTTTTGTCTTCTTGGTCACACTGTTAATAATATTCATGAGTGCAATGTTGTTAACACTGATCTCCCTTAGGACTGATTGCTGGAGACATCCACCACATGGGTCATCTCACTTCTTTCTCCCAGCAGCGCTCTGTACAGGTGTACATGTGAATTATTGTCCTAGTTCCCAGATGGGGAAACTGATGAGGGGGTGACACATTGTAAGTCCCAGGGCAAGCCAAATCAGAGACATACTTGAAATCAGGCTTCAAGGGCACCTTCCTCTTCCACTGCCTACTCACTGCAGAATAGAAGACCCTAATTAGGAAAGAGCACAGAAATCTTGAAGTTTGTGGGCAGGAGGAGAATCTGGTAGGAGTCACTATGGGGGCACAGATTAGGGCCAAGGCAAAGTAACAAAGGTCAAGAGTGCAAAGCAACATTAAGAATGGAGGCCTGGCCGGGCGGTGGTGGCGCACGCCTTTCATCCCAGCACTCGGGAGGCAGAGCCAGGAGGATCTCTGTGAGTTTGAGGCCAGCCTGGGCTACAGAGTGAGTTCCAGGACAGGCACCAAAACTACACGGAGAAACCCTGTCTCGAAAAACAAAAAACAAAAAAAAACAAAAAACAAACAAACAAAAAAAGGCCTAGGGGCTGGAGAGATTGCTCAGCAGTTAAGAACACTGACTGCTCTTCCAGAGGACTCGGGGTTCAATTCCTATCACCCACATGGCAGTTCACAACTGTCTGTAACTCCAAGATCTGACACCCTCACACAGACATACATGCAGGCAAAACACCAATGCACATAAAATAATAATAATAATAATAATAATAATAATAATAATAATAATGATAGAATGGAGGCCTGGCATTAGATGAGGATGACTGCAGGAATTACGGTCCTGAATAGTGAGGTGTGGAGTGGGAGGATGGGGATGAGATATAAAGAAGACAGATGGCTGGGACTGAGGTCTCACATAAACTGATGACTTACGCCAAGCAAGTTAATTAAGAAGTACAACATCTTATATAGTGTTTGGAGGGAAGAAATGGACCAAGCAGAAAGCTGAATCAAGCAGTGTTGGCAGGGGACACAGGATACTTCAGACACAGCTGCCTTAGGACTGATAACTACAGCCCAGGGGAGAAAGCAGGGATCCCAGGAACCAAAACTCTGGAGGCCCAGGCTCCAGCCCAGACTGGACCTTGCCAAGTCTGCTCTTGGACAAGGTCACAGAAGTAATGGTCCCTTTGTTCTTTCATCGGGCCCTCTGAGAAAGCCCTGGGTTGGTCTGGCTCCCACAGACTGCAACAAGGAAGAGGGAGAACTTCCTGAGAGACTTGTGGTGAGGTCCCTGTGGAGGCTGTGCCCACACTGCCCTTAGAGAGCAGTCCCAGCTGGGAAGCCCTGGGTTCTGTGAACTCCTGTGTGAAGATTTGCTCCAAATCCGAATTCTATCTTCTCCAGTAGCAGAGATGTGGTGGATGCAAGTTAAGAGTGCCCTGAACAGTTTGTGTTTGGGTTCTGGTTTCTCATCTGCGTTTTTTTTGGGGGGAAGAGACAGGTTCTTTTGTAGTCAAAGCTGTTCTTGAACTCCTGATTCTCTTTTCTAAGCCTCCGGGACCACTGTACCCGGGTCTAGTATATTCTTTTTTTTTTTTTTTTTTTTTGGAGACAGGGTTTCACTGTGTAGCCCTGGCTGTCCTGGAACTCACAGATCCCCCTGCCTCTGTCTCCTGAGTGTTAGGATTAACGGAGTGTGGTTTATGTTCATTAAGAGGTTGAGAGATTCTGCAGTTTGTCTGACGGCTACAATAAAAAGTGGAAGAATGGGCTTGAGAGATGGCTCAGAGGTTGAGAGCACTGGCTGCTCTTCAGAGGTTCTGAGTTCAATTCCCAGCAACCACAGGGTTGTTTTGGTGTGCAGGCATACATTCGGACAGAACACTGTATATATAACAAACAAATAAATCTTAAAAAAATAAGAGACTAGGAAAACTGCACATATTTAGAAAAAAGAAGTGGAAGAATAGCACATACCTTTAACCCCACTACTTGGGAGGCAAAGGTAGGCGAATCTCTGCGTTCTAGGCTAACCCGGTCTACAGAGCTTGTTCCGGGACAGCCACAGCTACACAGAGAAACTGTTGTAAACCAAACAGACAAACTGAACGGCTCTATTGAAGAGAAATATCAATAACCCATGTCTATGCTTCTAGAGCACTTTCAGGAAGAGAGGTACCACTTTTACAAATGAGGTTGAGGGGGGTTTGCGACGTGTCCGCAGTACAAATAAAAAGGGGAAAAGTGACTCATCGCAATGCGCAGGGATGAGACTGTAGTCTAGCCCGGCCAAAGAGCTGTTGAAAGGACAAAAGATCACGCCTAAGGAGGAAGCAGAGGGGCTGACACCCTGGGCCCTAAGCCTGCCGCCGGGATCCTCCGCCCTCCCTGCTTACGTGCGCTCCGTGACCGCCGGGGCGCACGCGGGTACCGCTATCCACGACGCATGCGCATTGCCGCCCGGGCTCGCTCCTTGCCCCCCCTTCACCGGCCGCAGAACGGGCTTGAGGCGCATGCGCACACCTAGCGGGCGGAGGTCTGTCGAGCGAGTGGAAAGATTTCAGGGAGAAAGTGCGCGGGAGCGGGGCGGGAGAGCGCAAGTGCGCAGGCGCGGTCGGTCGCGGGGCGGGCTGCGAGCGGAATCTCAGCCATCCTCAGTCCCTGCCGCATCTCCCTGCCTGTCGCCATGGCCGCCTACAAGCTAGTGCTGATCCGGCACGGCGAGAGCGCCTGGAACCTGGAGAACCGATTCAGCGGCTGGTACGACGCCGACCTGAGCCCGGCGGGCCACGAGGAGGCGAAGCGCGGCGGACAGGCGTTGCGAGGTACGAGCAGGAGGCGCGCGGGGTGGCGTGCGGGTCCCGCGCCGGCCTGGAGGCCGCCCGAGCCTCCGCGCCCCCCTCGAGAGGCGTGCACCTCGGACGGCCTCTCCAGTTGAGTTTGCATCTGGGGAGGTGACCGCAAGGTGGGAAGCCCGTTTCTCAAGGTCACCCCGTTCGAGTGGGAAGGGTTGTGTCAAAAAGAGGGCGCAGACGTCGCTAGGCGAAAATCTCCCTTTCTAGTTGGAGCAGCCCCACCTGTGGCAGCCAGGAACCTTTAGGGTACCGCGAGGGCCTGGGTGGCTGGCGGAGGATGCCCCGTGACATCAGTTGCTGTACCCAAGTTTACCTAAGAGGCGCCTGCGAATCAAGGCAAAGCAGCAGGCCACAGGCTCGGCCTGGGCAGTAGGGGGAGTTAGGTGGGGATGCCTGATGGCGTCCAAGACACCTGGAAACCCGCGTGCTTCTGAGAGCATTGTAGCTCAGTAGCATACCACAAATACTGTGACCAGAACGAATCCAGAGATGTGAGTGGGCGATTTCAGTTGATGTTCTCTACAGCCCCAAAGCAGGAATATTTTATTCCCCTCCTTTTTATCTCTGCCCCCGGTTATAGTGTAGAAAGTGGCTGGGAAGACTCATCCAAGGTCATACCTACTTAGCTCTAATCCAGTGTCCTTGCCCCATTTCTGGGTGGAGTAACAAGTAAGTGAGGAACTGGCGGGCTGGTAGCCAAGGACAGAGGCTGGGCAAAGGGTGGAAGCGTCCAGGAGATAAAGATTGCCTTTGCTTATCCAGGCTCTGTGTCCTGTACCAACACCTACTGTTCTCGGTGATTTTGGAAGGCTAATAAAGAAGCAAACCTTGCTGCCTGCAGCCAGGAGAATCTCTGGAGTGAAGAGGTGCTTCCTTTGGTGGTTAGGGCCGACCCTGCCCTGCATCTTTCTAACTTGGACATAGCAGCAGCCATGTAAAAAGTTGCTGATGCTTGGTTGAAATGATCTTTGTATTTGTGTCCTGGTTGTCCTGTCTAGTTTTTACAGCCTTTTCAAAAGAAGGACGGCTTTGGACATGAAGTCCTGATGCAAGGAAATGAGAATGCTTTGAGAAGGGATACATTATGTAGGAGAGGCTAGGAAAAGGAAGGTGCTGGTGAAGGAAGCCATTTTTAATCTTTAGCTCTGTGGCATGAAGTGCTGTGTAGGTCTGTGGTAGTTGGCTGATGCCTAGCTAAGGACAAAGTTAACTGCCTCTGTTCTCTGCTAAGATGATCATACATTGGACTTGTACTCCCTGGAAAATAGACCCCATTTTAGTTTTTTATTTTTCTTTAAAGATTTATTTATTATGTATACAGTATTCTGCCTGGCCAGAAGAGGGCACCAGATCTTACAGATGGTTGTGAGCCACCATGTGGTTGCTGGTAATTGAACTCAGGACCTTTGGAAGAGCAGCCACTGGTCTTTTTTTTTCCACCCAGTGGTCTAAACCTCTGAGCCATCTCTCCTGCTGCCCACCCCCACCCCCATTTCAGTCTTCAGTATTGGTAGCATTTTAGAAAGTCAGGTAAGACTGCACATGGGGCTGCATACCTGTAATCTTTTCAGCACTCAGGGAACTGAGAAGGGAGGATCTAGAGCATGGGCCAATTTCGACTACAGCAAGCCTGGCTCAAAGAGAAAAGCCAGATGGTGGTGGCGCACACCTTTAAGACCGGCACTCCGGAGGCAGAGGCAGGTGGATCTTTGTCACTTTGAGGCCAGCCTGGGCTACAGAGCAAGCTCCAGGACAGCCAAGGCTACACGGAGAAACTCTGTCTCAAAAAACAGAGAGAGAAAGAGAGAGAGAGAGAAAGAGAGAGAAAGAGAGGAAAAGGTAATGTAACATTTTAGTATCTTTCTAAAGGTATCAACAGACGATTCCAGAATGGAAGACTAAAAGCAGAAAGGACTGTGGGTGATAAAGTAACACAAAAGACACAGTCTTGAATCGGATTGGGAGGAAGCTAGTGAGACTGTCCTTGCAGCCTTAGGCTGAGGAAGGAAGGGGTCCCTGGGGGAGAATGGTGCCCACACTTCCATGACCTTTGTACCTCCGGCTATCCTTTAAATGGCAAGCTGAAGGGAGTGTCTGTGTTTCTGATCCTGTAGCATTCTTGTCAGAGTCCTAAGCAGACCACTTTGGCCTTGGGGACTATTTGCATCCACAGTGTGAGGCCCTCCCTGCAAGAGGAAATGATTGCAGTGAAACAGGCTGTCGCTTTTCATCATGGAAGCTGAGGCTCCTTCTGTGGGTAGCTCAGTGACTCAGCCTTTTGTTGGGGGGACCTTCCTCTTTTGGCTAAGGAGGTGGTAAAGGGTGTGATGGTAGTCAGTTTTCAGGGCCTCGTCCATAGGCTGAGGGGTGAGATCTGTCTTTTGTGGGTGATGGTGGCTTCCTGGTGAATCGTCTTCCCTCTCAGTGGCCTCATTGTCAGCTGAATGACTAGCAGGAAAATTGACTTCACATTTTGTTTATAACTGTTGTTAATCTCATTATGAAGCAATGCCCAGAAAAGTTTGTGGTTGATTTTTGAAGAAGGCCTTGTGTGCTAGAGAAAACAAGAGTGTTTCTTGAGAGGGACAGCTTTTTAATTCACAATTTTAAAGATAAGCCAAGCTAGTCTTGAATTCAAGATCACTCAGGCACGTGCCACCATCCCAGGTTCTATCTTTTATTTTCCTAATCTGGTAAAAAAAAAAAAAAGGGGTTGAGAGGATTGTAATCTTGTAGGATTTTAGTGAAGACTAAATCATAGTTTGGTGTAGGACCAGGGTGAATCCTCTAGAAAGGCTAGCTAGGGGTTGGGGATTTAGCTCAGTGGTAGAGCGCTTGCCTAGCAAGCACAAGGCCCTGGGTTTGGTCCTCAGCTCTGGAGAAAAAAAAAAAAAACCAGAAAGGCTAGCTAGGACTTAAGGACCAATGATGAGCTCTCTAGAAAGGCCAGCCAGGATTTAGGCAGAGTTCAAGTGTTTATATTAATTTCTATTTCATTTTTTTTTTGGTTATTCAAGACAAGTTTCTATGTGTACGCCTGGTCGTCCTGGAACTCCCTCTGTAGACCAGGCTGGCCTTAAACTCACAGAGATCCTTCTGCCTCTGCCTCCCAAGTGCTTGGATTAAAGGCGTGCGCCACCACTGACTGGCTCCTTTAAAATTTTTTAAACCCATTTGTAAGCGTGTGTGTGTGTGTGTGTGTGTGTGTGTGTGTGTGTGTGTGTGCGCGCATGAGCATGCCCATCCTACAGGGTGCATGTGTGGAGGTCAGGGCAACTTGTGGTCAGCACTCTTCCACTATGTGGGTTCTGGAGATTGAACTTGGATGGCCAAGCCTATGATCCTTTTTTCTCTCAAATGAAACATTAAAAATATGTTTAGGTATAACATTCTAGCTGTTAGAATAAGCTGCACAGTCCTCAGACTAACAATATAGTTAGGAATTAGTGAGCCAATAAAAGGTGTACTTTTTTTGTTGTTTGCTTTTTGTTTTTGAGACAAGGTTTTGTGTAGCCTTAGCTATCCTGGAACTAGCTCTGTAGACCAGGCTGGCCTTGAACTCCGCCTGCCTCTGCCTCCCAAGTGCTGGGATTATAAATCAACAAATTTTGCCCTCAAAGGCTATAAGAATAATCAGTTTGCCAAATAGTTTTTCTTCTCTCTCTCTCTCTCTCTCTCTCTCTCTCTCTCTCTCTCTCTCTCTCTTTCTTTTTTTTAGACAGGGTCTCACTAACCCTGGCTGGTCTGGAACTAAGTAGACCAGGCTGGCCTTCAATACACTTATAACCTGCCAACCTGCCTTTGCCCCTTTCATGCTGGGATTAATGGTGTGTACCACCACCACACCTTGCCCCAAGTCGTTTTCATTTAGACTACCTATATAAGAGATTTGTGTATATAACAGTTGTGGTTCAGGTTAGGCTCTGTTAGCTTCTCACTTGGCACTTTTTTTTTTTAAGTCACGGACTCTTTGTAGCCTGGGCTGTCTTGGAACTTGGCTATGTAGGCCAGATTAGCCTTGAACTCAAAAAGATCCACCTGTCCCGCCTCCCTAGTACTGGGGTTAAAGGCATGTGCGACCATACCTTGCTCATTTGTCACTTCTTAATTTCTAGATGCTGGCTATGAATTTGACATCTGCTTCACCTCCGTGCAGAAGAGAGCCATCCGGACTCTCTGGACAGTCCTGGATGCCATTGACCAGATGTGGCTGCCAGTAGTCAGGACTTGGCGCCTCAATGAGCGACACTATGGGGGTCTGACTGGTCTCAATAAAGCAGAAACTGCTGCCAAGCATGGTGAGGCACAGGTAAAGATCTGGAGGCGATCTTATGATGTCCCACCACCTCCGATGGAGCCTGATCATCCCTTCTACAGCAACATCAGCAAGGTATGGTCAAGTCCAGCTGTGGCCACTCAGTCAGCACTAGGGGTTAGAGCATGGGCCTCACTTTTATTTTTCAAATTTATGTGCATGGGTATTTTGCTTGAATGTTTTTATGTGCACCCCATGTGTGCCTGGTGCCTTTGGAGGTCAGAAGACGACATCAGTTCCTTGAACTGGTGTTAGAGGTGATTGTGAGCCTCCATATGAGTGTTGAGAACCAAACCTGAGTCCTAGAAGAACAACAAGTGCTCTTAACTCCAGCCCCTGGGCCTCTTGTGTGTCTATCTAATGTCATTAACCTTATAATTTATGATAAAATAATTAACATAACTTCCGTTTGCTAAGTAATGGCCCTCACTTGTTACAAGATTTAGTTGTAAGTTAACGATACGTATCTGAGAGTAGTGCCTCATGTTCACATCTTTATGGAAAAAAAAATCAACTGCAAACTAACAGGAATTGGGAAATCTTGTTTGTTTTTGTAAACCTCTTCCCTTTTAAGTTACATGTTTTGGATTAGGGAATGGGGTGCAGGATAATGACTGAGGATCCTCTTTTCCAAGTTCTTAGATATATTCTGGACCCTTGAATTTTCACTAGTCACTTTATCCCTTAAGAGCCGAGATAGGTAGAATTGATATACATGAAAGCCCTTTATATATGCAACTTCAAATAAGTTTTTGTGGCTTAGGATCGCAGGTACGCAGACCTTACTGAGGACCAGCTGCCCTCCTGTGAGAGCCTGAAGGACACTATTGCCAGGGCACTGCCCTTCTGGAATGAAGAAATCGTCCCCCAGATCAAGGAGGGGAAAAGAGTCCTGATTGCGGCCCATGGCAACAGCCTTCGGGGCATCGTCAAGCATCTGGAGGGTATGTGCATTTCCTTAGGAGTCCTTAAAGATAAGAAGGTAGCCACCTTAGTTCCTAGACTTTGTAGAAAGGAGACCTCTGGGAAAGGTCTGACAGTGCAGTTGGACTTATGGGAAAACTTGTTTCTTTTCTCAAAATTTGGTTTGCTAGCTGGGTGTGGCTTACATTCCAATCTCAGTACCAGGGAGGCTGAAGCAAGACAATCACTTTGAGTTCTAGGCCAGCTGGGGCTATATAGTGAAACCCTGATTCCAAGTCAGCAGAAAGTGTGGTTGCAGAGCACTGAGAGTGGGCCGCTGACACTCTGCTATACACACAGGGTGAAACCAACTGCCATACGCTCAGTGATTTGATATGTATTAAAGCTGTAGATGCCCACCTGCTCAGGAGTGCCAGTTGAAACTAGTCACAACTTGACTCAGTATAAATCCCAATTGTTCCCTCCTTGGGGAACTAGAGGCCCAGAATGACTAATTTTTTGGTAGATGGATAGACTATAGGATGTCTGAGAAGCACACAGTCCTGCTCTGCTGTGGGTTTCTACATCCATAGAGATCCCTGTGGTGTAACTTTCTGCAGTTTGTTGGTGATCCATCTTAGACTCTTTGTGTACCTTCTCATTCTTTCTCATGATCTTTAGAGTTGTAACTGGGGCTGTTCCTTGGGGGAAATGGATCCACTATTACATTAGATGTCTAGTTTGTTCCCATGTAATTGCTTTGCCACTAGTAGATTGTGTATATGTGCACGCGAGGACTCTTATCTATGGCTGAACATGGATGGTGGCTCTTTTAGGTCTCTCAGAAGAGGCCATCATGGAGCTGAACCTGCCAACTGGCATCCCCATTGTCTATGAATTGGACAAGAACTTGAAGCCTGTCAAACCCATGCAGTTCCTGGGAGATGAAGAGACCGTGCGGAAAGCTATGGAAGCTGTGGCTGCTCAGGGCAAGGTCAAGAAGTGAAGTCCAGCAGGCCGACTCCTACCCCAGTACCCTCCCCACTGCCTGTTGATGCCTCCGGCACCCTTCCCCAACACCTGTCACGCTGACCACATCTGTAGGATCTTAACTTTAGGTTGTAGCTGCAGATGAGAACCTGCAGCTCCCATTTTTAGTATTTTATCCCCTGCACCCACTCCCTTCATAGAATCTAGTCAGAATAACACCTCTGGGGTGCAGGTTCCTGGTCCACATCCAGGAACAGCTCCCCTTGCCAGGAGAGTTGAGAGGTAGTAATTACAGTTTTTCTTAGTCCTTTGTTTACTAAGGGTCTGCTTTAGGAAGAGGTCTGAGAGGAACCATGCTGTGGTATGACCAATGAGAAGCTACAGCCCAATTTTGTCCCTGGAGCCTGTCCTGCACCCTTGTTAGGTAAGGGGGCTGTAGTCATTCCAGTGAAGGGTGAAAGTAACTTGCATGGTGACTTAAAAGACACTACCTTCCTCTCTGACTAAAGGAGCTGCTGGCCCCAGAAGGTTGGGATCAATCCTGTCAAGTCTATGTGTTACATCCACTTTTACAAAAAAAAAAGTACATATATATTTATCAGCACACAAAGCCCCTCTGAGGTTTCTAGTGGTGATTGAAACAGTCCCATGTGGTCACCAGAAAATAAGCCATTCCTCATAGCAAATAGGATAAATTCCTTGTCCTCAAGGGGCAGGAGTGCCTCTTGCTGTGTTTTAGGATTCCTCTGCCTTGTCTTGTAGAGGTGAAGTGCCCCTTGATCATGTCCAGGTTTTGTCTTTCACTGTCTGAATCATGTTCTAGCTGCTTGACCCTATCATGTGGGTTCAGAACTCGTTTGGGCATAAATACTAAATCTCTTTCCAGATCAGTATAATAAAAGAGTGATGTGCAATATTTCACTGTCTGATGTGTTATGCCTGTCGCCTGGGGAAGCCTGAGCATGCAGTTTGAAGTGTACACTAAGACAGGAGGGTTTGGCTTAGCCAATAGCACTGGCTACTCTCAGTATCCAACTCTTCTGGCCTTGGACACAATGTGCAAACATGCATGCAGGGAAAACGTCCATGTGCATAAAAACATCTTCTAACCAGCCTTAAATACAGTACTATGAGCTGTAACTTAAACTCCAGCCTTTTAAATTGGGAAAGAAAACCAGTAACGGATCTCTAATATGGCTCCTCAGTATAGAGCACTACAGAGTCACCTGTGTAGGGCTCAAGAATGAAGGACTGGAGAGATAGTTAAGAAGAGCACTTGTTCCTGAATGGGATCTGGATCCAATTTCTAGCATTTTCATGGTGCGTGCACACACACACACACACACACACACACACACACACACACACACACACTCCAACAAACCATCAGAGGGGCTAGCAAGGTGGCTCCATCAGCAGGGGAAGCACCTGCCACTTAAGCCTAATTGACCTAAGTCCAATACTTCAAACCCATGTAAAGACGGAAGGCAAAAACTGACTCCACAAAGCTGTCGCATGACCTCTACATGTATGGTGTGCCACATGCACATCCACGAACAGCACACATAAAGAAAGCCAAAGTGGTTTGAATGAAAGTGGCCTCATAGGCTCATGTTTGAATACTTAGTGCCTAGTTGGAGGAATTGTCTGGGGAAGGTTACATGTGGCCTTGGAGGAGATATGTCACTGGGGTATACCATTTAATCCCAGCATTAGGGAGGCAGGCTCATCTCTTGAGGTGGAGGTCAGCCTGGACCTCAAAAAGCAGTAGATAATGGCTGCAGGCAAACACACTGCTCAGGTGAACATAAGGGCGTTCTAGTCCATCCTTGCCATGTTGAGGGTGGAACAGCTCGGACAGCAGGCAGGTGCTCTGAGTCCTCATTGTCTTCTATTCTGCTTTTTATCCACACTTGGTGCTAAAGATGCAACCCACAAAGGCTGAACCAGTAGCTACATCCCTAGGCCTGCTTTTTCTTTGTGATGGCCTTTTTCTTTTTTCAGAAAGGGTTTCTCTGGATAGCACTGGCTGTCCTCAAACTTAGATCTGCCTGCCTCTGCTTCCCAAGTGTTGGCATTAATGGCTTATACCACCACCACCAAACCTGAACTAATTATTCTAATCTAGGGTTCAGACATCTGTAAGATATGGTAGTGACTGCTTTTCCCGGGTCACTAAGTTCAGAAATAAAGGGAACTGTAGAACTGGTGCCAAGACATTCATTCTGCACATTTCTAGGTGGTGTTAGAAAAAAACCTAATCAAAACTGGAGATAGTTTTTGTTTTGTTGTTTACTTATTTATTTTTTAAGAGGCAGGACTTTGCCTTGGCCTCCCAAGTAGCAAAGCACTGCACATTTTGAACCAACATTTAATTCAAGGTGTCAATTCTGTGAAAGAATCAGGCACGCATAAAGACAAACTAAGTTTGTTTTCCCCTGAAAAACTCATTTTATCTAGTATGAGGCCTGATATTTTGTAGATACACACATCAGATATAACAAATACCATATTAGCATGCTCTGAGCAATTTTTTATGTACTCCTTCAATATAACCCTGAGAATCTAATGAAGAAACACAGAAGTAAAAACACTGATGGCTGTCAGTGTCAACAGCCAACTGACTGTTGACAGCTTGGAGACAGGTTCTCCTGTCATCCAGGCTGGCACTCAATTATGTTAACTGAGAACAACCTTAAACTGCTCCTTTTTTATTTTTCTTTTTCATTACTTTTTTTGAGACAAAGTCTTGTATAGCCCAGACTGACCTAGAATTCCTCTAAAAAAATGTTTGTGTATGGATGTTTTGCCTCATGTACATATGTGTACCATATGCATACCTGGTGCCCACAGCAGTCAGAAGAGGGCTTTGGAGTAACAGATGGTTGTGAGCCACTACGTGGTTGCTGGGAACTGAACACAGGTCCTCTGCAAGAGCAGGAAGTGCTCTTAAATGCTGAGCCATCTCTCCAGCCCCATTTGTTTTTTTTTTTGACAGTCTCATGATGTAGACCAAGCTGGCTTCCAACTCTTAAGATCTGCCTGCCTCTGCCTCTTGAGTACTGAGATTAAAGCTTTGTAGCACCATGTTGGGTCCTATTTTCTCTTTTCCTTTACCACTGAACCTCCAGCCCAATATATTAAAAATTTGCAAGTGTCACCAATGTGGGAAAGTAGGTCAAAGGTACAAAGGATCTTTCTGTTTCCAATTCTGGGCTTGAATCCTAGGACTCGGAATGTTGGGTCAAGCCCAGCAGCAAAGCATGTGCTAAGATGTGTGAGGCCCTGAGTTTGATTCCCATACAGCAAACAAACCAACAAACTGCATGTGGTCCTGTCCAGGGTAGTTTTATGTCAACTTGACACAACTAGTTATCTGAAAGGGAACTCAATTGAGAAAAGCCTATATAAGACCCAGCTGTAAGGCATTTTTAAAATTAATGATTGATGGAGGAGGGACCAGACCATTGTGGGGTCATCCCTGGACTGGTGGTCCTGGGTTCTATAAGAAAGCAGGCCAGTAAGCAGCACCCCTCCATGGCCTGTGACCTGACTCCCACATATACAAAATAGAACAGTATTAATTTTTTTAAATGGCCTGGTGGGGGTGCTGGAGAGATGGCTCTGTGGTTAAGAGCACTGGCTGCTCTTCCACAGGACCCAGGTTCAATCCCAGCACCTGCAATGGCAGCTCACAACTGTCTCTAACTCTAGGATCTGAAACTCTACAGGCATACATGCAGGCAAAACAACAATGTACATAAAAATAAAATAAGAACCAAACAAAAAATGACCTGGCAATGGTCCCAGCACCCAGGAGGCAGAGGCGGGCTGGTCTACAGGTCTTCCAGGACAGCCAGGTTTGCACAGAGAAACTCTTGTATGGAAAAACAAAGGACAAAACAAGGAGGGAAACAGAACGGACTGGAGAGCTGGCTGGGTGTGGAAAGGGACCTGCCACACGGCCTGCCTTGAGTTTGATCCCTGGAGCCCATGTAAACAGCTGGAAGCAGCTGCATGCATCTGTGATGCCGGCAGTCCTACAGTGAGATGGAAGTGGAGACAGCTGCTGGACGCTCACGGACTAGCCAGCCTAGAACACACATGGAGCAGAGACCAGAAAGACTGGCCCCCAAACAAGGTGGGGGCCAGTGAGATGGCCTGAGCTTCATCTTGAACCGACAGACAGGTGGGAGGAGAGAACTGACCCACAAGGTGCCCTTGACCTCCATACACACGCTGTGTCATATGTGCTATGGTACATACTTGTGCACATATAATGCAATTAGGAAAAAAAAAAGTTAAAGCCCATCTAATCAAACCAAAACTAAGGTTAGGTAAGAACTGGTTCTCAAAAGCTGTCCTCTGACCTCCACACACGTGCCCACACTCATACACATAGTACAGACTCACACACTAAATAAATAAAACTAAACAAAACATACTAATCGGCTGAAGTTGACAACTAGAGATTACCAAACCAGGTGAGCCTCAATCCAGAGCTCACCTCCATCACCGACAAAACACTGAGCTTGCACGTTCCTGAACATGTCAACAAGAGCCATCCACGTGCAGTCTCTTCACGAGTAATGCATAGCTATGATTTCCTCCAAACTTCGGCCTTGATTTCTGGTTCTGCATTTGCCAGGGTGCTCTCTGGATGGAGGACCTTCACACTCACCCAGTGTCTTCACAATTGCTTTTGGTCTCGTTCCCCAACCCCCCTTGACCCTCTCACAAGGTAGCAATATCTCTACGGTCAATTCAGAGGTAACAGTTCCCGGGATACCTGTCACAATAATACTATGTTTAGCAAACATTTTCAGAACTACTCATGTGCAATTTTAATCACCACACATGCCCAATAGTTTTCACTAAGCATAATGTGTGTCACTGAGGGGTTTATATAAAGTACTTGACCCAATGGCTGGCACAGACACACAGACATACATACACAATGAGATTGGAGGCTGGGTGTGGTGGCGTATGACTTTAATCCCAGTACTTGGGAGGCAGAGGCAGGCAGATCTCTGTGAGTGAGGCCAGCCTGGTCTACACACTGTAATCAGACCTTATCTCAAAAATCAAAACAAAACAAAAAGTGGGAAAGACTGGCGGTGGAAAGCTGGCTCAGTGATTAAGAGTACTTTGGGGGCTCACAACCTCCTGTAAATCCACTTCTGGCCTCCAGGGGCACATGTGGTGCACATAAAATACAAAACAACGAGAAAAACACACTGAGAGAGTTCACTGCAAGTTCATCTTCTAAACAGTGAGAGTGGGGGCTGTGGAGATGGTTTAAGAGGTCAGGGCAAAATGATGGAGAAATGGCTGAGATCTACATGAACAGCCTGGACGTGAGTGGGGGTAATGAAGGGCGAGGGTTGAGGGAAAGAGAGCTTGGGGGAGCGGGAGATCCCAGCTGGATCAAGAACAGAGAGGGAGAACAAGGAAAAGGAGTCCATGGTAAATGAAGACCACATGAGAAAAGGAAGAAACAAAGTGCTAGAAAGGCCCACAGATATCCACAAAGATACCTCCACAATAGACTGCTGGCAATGGTCGAGAGACAGCCCGAACTGACCTACTCTGGTGATGGGATGGCCAAACACCCTAATTGTCGTGCTAGAAACCCCATCCAAGGACTGAGGAATCTGGATGCAGAGATCCACGGCCAGGCCCCAGGGAGCTCTGGGAGTCCAATTGGTGAGAAAGAGGAGGGTTTATATGAGTGAGAATTGTTGAGACCAAGGTTGGATAAAGCACAGGGACAAATAGCCAAACAAATGGAAACACATGAACTATGAACCAATGGCTGAGGGGCCCCCAACTGGATCAGGCCCTCTGAATAGGTGAGACAGTTGATTGGCTTGATCTGTTTGGGAGGCATCTAGGCAGTGGTACCAGGTCCTGGGC